TGCCAGGCAAACAAGCTGCTGAGGACAGCCTGAGTTAACAGGGGGCCGGAAGAGGCAACTGGTGGGAGGGAGGGGGCAGGGCGTGCTGTTGCTGGGATCCCACAGGCTTCTAGTCCTTGGGGGCTGAGAGGGGATAGAGGAATGGCACTGGCACAGAAGTGGGGAGGCGCTCGACTGCCCGGAGAGCACACTGGGCTGTCACCTTCAGAGGGACACTGTGACCTCGAGGCTCATCCATATGCAAAAGGCACACATGAAGGCCCTAATGCAGAGGGAATTAATTACTGCCTGATTAGACTGCTGTTTCTACAAATTTAAATAAATTAAAATACACCAAGAAGACTGGAAATCCTCACTCATTCTGTCTCCCTAAATGCCCTACTTATCCATGGGAAGTCATATGGCAAAGAAAGAAGGAGAAAGGAGACGGTGCGAGACTTCCGAACTGTCCCATGAGGAAGTCACAGGTCATGCTAACCATGAAGAGCTCAGGATCTAGGGAAGAGCCCTCACTTTCTCTCTCCTGGAGTTGCTGCAGAGACCACGAGGCCCTCGGAAAGCTGTGCATCACAGAGCAGTCACTGACCAAGAACAAAGCAGCAGCCAGACTGCACCTCTAATCGGGGACCACACATTACGGGCACCTTTGGAAGCAGTCTCTCAACACCATGCTTTCTTTGCCTCTTGGGCTGTAAAGCCAATTACTCAGGTAGGCTTCTCTTAAGCATTTTTCCAGAATGCTCACCACTGTCACTCTGACCAAACCTGGGAATGGGGAAGGCGCCCAGGAGGAGGATCTCCCGGATATAGCTCAGAGTGTGGAAGTGATTCAAGATGGAAACAGTGTGCCAGCTGGAGACCCCTAGGCTAAAATTAACAACCCTCCTCCCCCTCCGCCCCACATTTTTGGCTCTAAAGCTTCTAAGGAGTTCAAAGCACTTAAAACTCCCTTCTGGAGTGGGTGTTCAGCCCAGCAGTTAAGATGCCTGAGTTCCGCATCCCAGAGCCTGAGTTCTAGTCTTGACTCCAGCTCCTGACTCCCAGCTTCCTGCTAATGCGGACCCTGGGAGGCAGCAGTGAGGGCTCCAGTTATTGGGTTTCTGCCAACACATGGAAGACCTGAACTGCATTCTGGCTCCTGGCCAGCCTCAGTTCCTGATGTTGAGGGCATTTGGGGAGTAAACCAATGGTTGGGACCTGTCTGCCTCTAAGATTTTAAAAAATATTTCTTATAGCAAGGGCAGCAGAGGGCTGACAGACATTGTGGCACGGAAAGTGGCCAGTTGATGTAAGCAGAGGAGGCGAACCAGGGCTTAGAACGATTACTACCACTTTGCTCCCCCTTTTCCCTATGAGCCTTCAAAGTTAAGGTTTCTCAAGTCGGCAATCTCCAACCTGTGCAGCAATCAGTTCTGGGCACGTCTGGGCCATCAAGTCCCTTGTTCTGTCAACTGTCGCCACTCAGTTCACACAGGTTTAGTGTTGAGCCTCAAAATGGGATAAAGTGAGCAGATGCTTTTAAAAAGAGACGGGTGGGGCTGGTGCTGTGGCGTAGCTGTGGGTAAGGCCACCGCCTGCAGTGCCGGCGGCATCCCAAATGGGCACCGGTTCGAGTCCTGGCTGCTGCACTTCCTATCCAGCTCTCTGCTATGGCCTGGGAAAACAGTAGAAGATGACCCAAGTCCTTGGGCCCCTCCACTCTGTGGGAGACCTGGAAAAAGCTCCTGGTGCAGCTCCAGCCACTGTGGCCATCTGGGGAGTGAACCAACAGATGGAAGACCTCTCTCTCTCTCTCTGCCTCTCCTTCTCTGTATAACTCCTTCAAATAAATAAATAAATCTTTAAAAAATAAGAAAAGAAAAAGAGACAGGGGTGGGGCCGGTGCTGTGGTGGAGCAGGTTAAGCAGCTTCCTGCAGTGCCACCATCCCATATGGGTTCGAGTCCCAGCTGCTCCACTTCTGATCCAGCTCCCTGCTAATGGCCTGGGAAAGCAGTGGAAGATGGCCCAGGTGCTTGGGCACCTGCACCCAAATGGGAGACCTAGAAGAAACTCCTGGCTCTTGGGTTCAGCCTGGCCCAGCTCCAGCTGTTTGGAGAGTGAGCCAGCAGCTGTAAGACCTCTCTCTCTCTGTAAATCTGCTTTTCAAATCAATCAATCTTTAAAAAATAAAAAAAGAACATCTGGGCCAGTGATGGACTTCATATACCAATGATGGATCCATAGGATTATAATGCTTAGTTGTTGCTGTTCATTTGTTCTGAGAGGAAGAGCGTGGTGGGGGCAAGAGGCGCGGAGTCACCACACAGACCCCGGGAGCCGAGTGAAAACAGGCTTGAGGCAAGCAGCCTGCAGACTCATTTATTTCAGTTGATATATCAGCTTAAATAGCCAAGGCAGCCAATCCGGTCAAGGGGCGGTTTATGCCCTAACCAATCACAGCCTGTTGCCAGGCTGTATCCGAAGCCATCCAATCACAGCCTGCTGCCAGGCAGTTTCCGTTGCCAGCGGCCATCTTGGCATGGCCTTCTCATTCCACCACACTTAGTGACATAACCCTCTTAGTTTGTGTACTCTTTGTTGTTCACAAAATGTGATTCCCAGAATGTCTCCCATTGTTCAGCAATGTAAGATTGTGCATCACCTACTAAACATTTAATTTAAAAATGTCATTTGCGGCCAGCGCTGCAGCTCAACAGGCTAATCCTCCGCCTTGCGGCGCCGGCACACCAGGTTCTAGTCCCGGTTGGGGCACCGGATTCTGTCCCAGTTGCCCCTCTTCCAGGCCATCTCTCTGCTGTGGCCAGGGAGTGCAGTGGAGGATGGCCCAAGTGCTTGGGCCCTGCACCCCATGGGAGACCAGGAGAAGCACCTGGCTCCTGCCTTCGGATCAGCTCGGTGCGCCCGCTGCAGCACGCCGGCCGTGGCGGCCATTGGAGGGTGAACCAACGGCAAAGGAAGACCTTTCTCTCTCTCTCTCTCTCTCACTGTCCACTCTGCCTGTCAAAAAAAAAATAAAAATTAAAATTAAAAAAAAAGTAAAAAAATGTCATTTGCTGTGACCTTGGAAAAATCCCCTTAAACCTTCAGTGTTATTCTTGTATCTGTAAAATGACCATTATAATTATCTCTGTGAGGGTTTATTTCTCTTCCTCAGCAAGGGCTATTACCGTTAAGAGGAGAGATCTCAATTTTGCTTCAGCCAAAACAGAGCTGAGCACAGAGGAATTCCAGCCAGATCAGTCGGTGTGGCAACTTCACTGACTCAGACAACATATTCATTCAGCATTTACTATGAGCTCAGTAAAACCATGTGAGTAGTTTCTTCCTTGAGGAGCTGGGGAATCACATATATCAAATAAAGTAGAAATAAAAAGTACAAGCTAAATGCTGTGGAATAAAGAGAAATAAAGGGACCATTATGGGCTAAAGTAATCGGGGAAACTTCTTCCTCAAAGAGTTCACATTAGGTGTACACCATAAACTAGTTCACTTAGGGAAAAAAAAACCACAAAAGTTTACTGACCACTTACTATGTGCTAGGCTCTGAAGGTACACAGGGAAGAATTCAAAGTCCTCGCCCTCATGGAGACAATACTTTAGTGGGAGCAGTGAACAGCAGGCAGGCAGCAGGCATGGCCTTTGGCACCGTGGCTAACACACCTACATGCCACACCTAGTGCCTGGTTTGGAGTTGTGGCTCTGCTTCCAATGCCAGCTTCCAGCTCATGTGCACCTGGGAGGGAGCGGGTGATGGCTCAGGTACTTGGATCCCTGCCACCCAGGTGGGAGACCAGGATGGAATTCCTAAAAGTAAAGCAGGGTGAAGGGATATAGGTGTGGATGAGGACAGTAAGATCCAAGCACAGAAAGTAAAGGCGGCCGTCAGCAAGGTTTTAATGGCTGGGAGATACTGTCACTTTTTAGGTCTTCCACGGACCTCAGAAAACTACTGAACCTTTTTATCTCATCCTACATATTCAAAGCATCGAGACATTCTCCAACATACAAGAAAAAATAATGCTAACTTCCCATAACAGCCTATTCCACCCTCAGGGAAGGAAAACGGGACCCTAGTCTTTTAAAAATCCAAACCTTCCTCCGTACCTTGATGCATAATTCATGAACCTGTCGCGTTCCCACCCTCCCACTTCCCCTTAAGTCCCTTCCGAAAGCCCGGAACCGCACTTCTGCAGGTTCAGCTTCTACCCCTGAGAAGAACCCGCCTTCATTTCCGCTCTGGCGTCACATACACTTAGGGCTCTCCGGCGTCCTGTGGCAGAAGCTATTTCCGCCCCTACTTGTCGTCACTTCCGCCCTGAGTATCCCGAAGCTAGAGGAGCGCCGGATGTGATCTCGCCGCTCCCGGAAGTGACTCGGCCTTTGCACTCCCCCCCTTCCCCCTTACCGCCCCCCCACACGCTGCTATTTCCCTCCCTCCCCCCCTTTTCGTTTCCGGCGCTCCCGCCTTCTCTCGGCTGCAGTCTTCTCTGAGCCTGTGGGGGGGAGGGAGGGAGGGGGGCGTGGAGGAATTGGGGTTCTCGGGAGCACGAGCTGCAGCACCACTTCCGGGTGAGTGTTAGGGGCGGGAGGGAGGGGGGCCACCCACTGCCTCGCGCCCCCGCCCTGCGGGTGTCTCGCGCGCATTCCGTGCGTGTGAGTGTGTGGGTCTGTCTCGCGCCTCAAGTGCGTGCCCGCGCGCTCCGCCTCGCGCTTTCCCCCCCTCCCTCGCCCCCTCCTGGTCCTCCCACCCCACTCGGCTCCCTCCTTTCCCATCAAACGCCGCCCCTCCCGCGCTCTGGCTCAGGCGCTGGCGCCGCCGCAGCCGTCGCCGCCGGGTGAGTCTCGCGCCGCTGCAGCCGGCGCGCGCCAAGCTCCCTGCTCCTCCCCCCTCCCCTTTTCCTTGGGAGGGCGAGGAGGGGGGGGGACACGATGTGACTGTATGTGTGTCCGTCCCGGAACCGGAAGTGGTTGTGGAGGAGCGGGCGATGGGGAGGAATGGGGGGGTTTTAGGGGGCGGGTGCCTGTCTGGTGGGTGGCAGAGTTCAGCTCCCTGGAGGGGAAGGAGGGTCGTCCCAAGGCAGGGTCTTTGAGAAAAGAGTGGGGGGCGACATCAGGAGGAGGCTCCCAGGGGCGCTCTCAGGGGAACGAAGGTTCTGGGGGGGACAGTTGGGGTCTCCAGTAGGTAGACCGCTGTGCAGACTGAGCGAGGTACTTCTTGGCACAAGGCCTTGGGTAGGCAGGGGGCGAAGTCCTAGCAGAAGTGTGGAGGGGAGGCTGGAGGAAGTGGCTGGGCCTGAACTGGCACTGTGCCTGACACAAGGGCCCGTGCATCCCCCCTGTCCTCAGCCTACCTCCTGAAGCCCCTGCCCGGGGGCGGGGACTCTCCTCTTCTCCCAACTGTTCTGTTCTCTGACCCCTGGTTACCTGTGGCCGGGAAAGGAAGACCCAGTGCCTGAGCCTAGGAGTGGAAGCCAAACCCGGGGGATAGGATTGATCTTAGTTCTGGGAATCAAATGTATTTCCCTTGTATGCAGATACGGGGTGACACTAGGCTTCTGCTACTGTATCTTTCCCTTCTTGAATTGTCGGGTGGTCAGGGGTGTGCCTGCCTTCCAGACCCACTGCCGACAAAGAATTCCTGAGGTTCTTCACAGTCCTCTGGCGACTGCACCCTGACTGGCCCCTGTAACCTAGAGAATTTGTTTACAGAAAGTTCAGGAGCCCTGGAAAGGAGAAGGAATAAGACGACAGGAGGAGGAAGAGAGAGAGAGGGTAAGACAATCTTTGGGCTAATGGCTTTTCTGGTTTTGGGGGAGAAGGGGTTATGAAAAGATGAATTTTTTTTTCTTTTTGGACAGTATGACAGACTTCAAGTAACGGCAGTTGTAATACTGGTGTTGTGGTGGGAGGGAAAATTAGCCTTTTCCTCTTAACTTTTGAGGGGTCCCAGGAAGTTGTGGCTAAGAAGTTGGCATTAAACTCCTGTCACTTTCCTTTCCCACTAGCACTCATCGGGAGTGCAAGGTGAAATGTTCAAGTGAAACCACTGAGGAGTTTTGTGTTGTGTCCCAAGGAGAAATTCGTTCTGCTTTGGAGCACATGGGCCCTAACTGCGGATGCAGTCCTTATGGCAGAGCTTAGGGGTTCCTGTAGTTAGAACAAGCAGTGCTGAGTTCAGAGGGGGGTTCCTATTCTTAATATCCCAGTGGCGTGTTTGAAGTGCATCTCTTGAATGATGAGAATCCGAGACAAAGGATTATTTGAATTTGGTGTGGCAGGGTGAGGTTTTTACTGCATGTTTCAGGTAAAGAAGATAAAACTGTATGGACTGAACCCCAGGAATGGGTCTAGAAGAATTCAAATTATGAAGCCTAGTAGTGATAGAGTTTTAGGTTGCCTGAAAATAACAATGTACAGACCTAAAAGGCTTCAAAGCTGTAATCCTAGAGATATCTTGTAATTTTTAAAGAATTTATTTAAGATTGGCCGTGGCTCACTAGGCTAATCCTCTGCCTTGCGGCACCGGCACACTGGGTTCTAGTCCCGGTCAGGGCGCTGGATTCTGTCCCGGTTGCCCCTCTTCCAGGCCAGCTCTCTGCTGTGGCCAGGGAGTGCAGTGGAGGATGGCCCAAGTGCTTGGGCTCTGCACCCCATGGGAGACCAGGAGAAGCACCTGGCTCCTGCCATCGGATTGGCGCGGTGCGCCGGCCGCAGCGCACCGGCCGCGGCAGCCATTGGAGGGTGAACCAACGCCAAAGGAAGACCTTTCTCTCTGTCTCTCTCTCTCACTGTCCACTCTGCCTGTCAAAAAAATAAATTAAAAAAAAAAAAAAGAATTTATTTAAGATTCATTTGCAGGGGCCGGCGCTGTGGCACAGTGGGTTAACGCCCTGGCCTGAAGTGCCAGCATCCCATATGGGTGCCGGTTCTAGTCCTTACTGCTCCTCTTCTAATCCAGCTCTCTGCTATGGCCTGGGAAAGCAGTAGAAGATGGCCTGAGTCCTTGGGCCCCTGCACCCGAGTGGGAGACCCAGAAGAAGCTCCTGGCTCCTGGCTTCAGATCGGTGCAGCTCCAGCTGTTGCAGCCAATTGGGGAGTGAACCATCAGATGGAAGACCTCTCTCTCTCTCTGCCTCTTCTCTTTCTGTAACTCTGACTTTCAAATAAATAAATAAATCTTTAAAAATTAAAAAAAAAGATTTATTTGCAAGGCAGAGTGACAGAGAAATATCTTCCATCCCCTGGTTTACTCCTCACATGCCCACAACAGCTGGGATTAGGCCAGCCTGAAGTCGGGACCCAGGAACTCCATCTGGGTCTCCTGTATGAGTGGCTGGAACCCAAGTACTTTGGGCCATCTTCTGCTGCCTCCTAGGTGCTTTAGCAGGAAAGTGGATTGGCAGCAGAGATAGCACTCCATCCCAGGCACATGGATAGGGTATGTAGGCATCCCAGGTGGCAGCTTAACCCGCTCCACCACAGTGCCCATGCCCCGGAGATAGTGTGTAAGAACCAATTCCGGATTGGTATAAAATCTGTTCCCCATAGGTTTCTGAGGCAAGTTTATGATTAAATACTAGGTGCATATTTCCTCTTTCCTCCTTGTTTATTTTTTCATTTTATCTGATAGAGATTCCTCATCTGCTGGTTCACTCCCCAAGTGCCTCCTGTAGCTGGGGCTGGGCCAGGCCAGTGCCGGGATCTAGGAGCTCAATCCAGGTCTCCCACATAGGTTGGCAGGTACCCAACTATTTAAGCCATCACCTCTGACCTCCTAGGGTTTACATTAGCCGCAAACTGGAATAGGGAGTGGGGCCTGGACTTGAACCATGGTACTCTGATACTGTATGCAGGTGAGCCAAATGCCCATTGTATTTTGCCTTACATTTGGCAGATTATTGCTAGCAGAGCAGGTCGGGAAGAACCACGATGCTGCCTTTCACCAGGGTACAGGGTACGATGGTCCAGTGGTAGCAGTGTAGGAGCTGCCTGATACTCATGGATCTGTTGATTTGTTTGTGTGTTGTGTGATGGTCTTTCCCAGTATCATTGAAGTAAACGTGTTCTGAGTTATTTTGCACTTGGAAGAGTTCACAGATAGTACAGGCTGAGTTGAAGATCCCTTGTCAGAAATAATTGGTTTGAGAGTTTTTAAGATTTTGGAATATTTGCCTAGACGTTAACCTGTTGATATTACTCATCTAGCAAATCTGAAACATTTTGAGCATGATGTTAGCATACAAAAAGTGTTGAGTTTTGGAGCATTTAAAATTTTGGATTTATGTATTAGAGGTGCTCGACCTGTAGTAGGATCCTGAAAGATTTGTCTCCTTATTGAGAAAAAAAATTGATTTTTTTTAAAAGATTTATTTATTTATTTAAAAGGCAGGGTTATAAAGAAGCAGAAGCAGAGAGAGAGAGGTCTTCCATCTGCTGGTTCACTGCCCAGATGGCTGAAATGGCGGGAGCTGTGCCGATCCGAATCCAGAAGCCGGGAGCTTCATCCAGGTCTTCCATGGAGGTGCAGGGGCCCAAGGACTTGGGCCATCTTCTACTGCCTTCCCAGGCCATAGTAGAGAGTTGGATCAGAAGTGGATCAGCTGGACTTGAACCTGCACCTATATGGGATGCCGGCACTGCAGGCGGTGGCTTTACCAGCTATGCCATAGCACTGGCACTGAAGCCAATGGTTTTCTATGTTTCCTCATTTCGTGTCCTTAGCTAATATTGCAGCCCTTCTACAGTTGTTCATTCTGGAACTATTTCTCTCAGTAGAGTGTCTTAAGATCTTACAGTTGAATTCAAATTGATTGTTTTTTTGCATCTTTTTATAACTGATGCTACTTATAGATGATTACTAAGCTAGAGGCTATAGACCCATTACTTTGGGGGTCGTTCCTTTGTAATTATGTAGTCTTCATGTAATTTTCACTAATTGTAACTGATCACCCTCATCATGTGGAAGAATTTCTCTGACTCTTTTTATGAGCACTTTGAGCATTTTATTCTTTCTCTTTTTTCTGCTGCGTCCATCTCCTCACAAGAAACCGTATGAACTGGCTGTAAAGAGTTCATTCACCTCCATTCTCCACGCTGATAAATACCTAGAAGCATAGAGGGATAGCTAATTATTGTGCTGGACCTAGAATTAGAATCCACATTTTGATTCCTAGGTCTCTTCTCTAGCTACTGAACTTGATTCATGCAAATTTAATGGGTGCATATATTTCATGAGTTTTCTAAAGATTGGTTGTATTAAGGAAATTGAGAAAAAAATGCTTTACTTGAAAAGCAGCAGTAAAAAAACAGTAGTTGCAAGTGGCAAATAAGTGGTGATCTTTACCATATCTGCCAAAACCAACTAGAAGCCATGATACCTTTACCCTTGGTTGGTTGTAGTACCGTGGAAGACTGGGTAGGTGAGCAAAGCTCTGGTGCCAGAATTCAAGTCCTACTATGTGTTTTGCATGTGTTACTTTAATATTCTCTCTTCTTCACCTCCCCGGTCTTCCAATATTTCTTTTGAAACTGGAGAAAATACGTAGTTCCTTAAACCTCTAGAAAGAAGAGTATCATCCAACCTAATTATAGTAAATGCCCCTCCTTATTAACAGCACAGTTGAGACTTGGTGCAATAGTGAAGTTGAAATTAGAACCCATATTTTCAATCTGTCAGCATTCTTTTTTTTTTTTTTTTTTGACAGGCAGAGTGGACAGAGAGAGACCGAAAGAAAGGTCTTCCTTTGCCGTTGGTTCACCCTCCAATGGTTGCCCCGGCCGGCGCACTGCAGCCGGCGCACCATGCCAATCCAATGGCAGGAGCCAGGTGCTTCTCCTGGTCTCCCATGGGGTGCAGGACCCAAGTACTTGGGCCATCCTCCACTGCACTCCCTGGCCACAGCAGAGAGCTGGCTTGGAAGAGGGGCAACCGGGACAGAATCCGGCGCCCTGACCGGGACTAGAACCCGGTGTGCTGGCGCCGCAAGGTGGAGGATTAGCCTAGTGAGCCGCGGCGCTGGCCTCTTCTTTCTATTATATATTTCTTGCTTGCTTTTTGGGGCTATAATGAAAGTCTTCCTCTGCTCAGAGTAGAGTCAACCAGTTTGTTTTTTCCCCTTCTGAGAATTGGCATAATCATCAAAGCCAGCATTCTGTATAGAGATGAGTTTGGGTTTGAGTTGTACGAATGCTGGTGTGTTGGGAAGGTGAGCTTTCCTGTGTGAAAGATAGGGTGAGAGGGTAAGTGGTAAAATGGACAGTAAGTGGGTGGTTGAGTGATTGGGCACCTGGGCGCACTGCTGCACAACTCCAGGGAGCACCATTTACATTGTGTTATGACAATAGCCTTCATTCTTGGCTTTTCACCTGAGCCCATTTTGAGGAGTACAGAGATTGAGTCAAGCTTACCAGTAGCACAGTGCTACAGCATTTCTCAGATGTCCTTTTGTAGGTAAATATTGCTTATGGTTGGTTGAGCAGTACTTTCCATGTGCTCTGCTTTTGGGCTGACCTGTTTGTCAAAAGCCCATAAGGCACATATATTGTCTTATCTTGGCCCAGGACCAGCTGTGGTTCTGACATTTAGCTTTTTTCTGTTAAGAACCAAAGCAGGGACAGGTATTTGGTGTGGTGGTTAAGACACTGCTTGGGATACCTGCGTTCCCTATCAGAGTGCCCAGGTTCGAGTCCCTGCTCTGCTCCCAATTCCAGCTTCCTGCTAGGCTCAGATGAGTGCTCAGTACTTGGGTCTGTGCCACGTATGTGGGAGATCT